GAAAAGAGTGGGTTTGGGATGATCTGAGTTACATTATCTGAAATGTAGAGTCTTTCACAAATGCACTGTCATTTCAAGGTGCATCCATTTTATTCGTTTTGAATTACATCTATGTAGGCTTGTAAGAAAAAATATCAGAAGTTAATATAAATCACTACTTACCACAACTTTTAATATACTGCATAGCTAACTGCAGAATTCGCCACAAATATTAAAAAGAGAAAGTGCAAAACAGCAGATTTGTTTTCCACAAACTTCCTTTATCATAATAAACCTCTAGTATACTAATTATAATATACCTCTAGTATATTAATAATAACTGCAATAAAACCACTGTCTTAATTTTGGGGTTATATTTAGTGAATTTTGTTTTTGACAAACCTACCAGGAATTATAGATGAAGTCCTATTCTTTTCTCTGTTGCATTGTTTCAATGCCGTAGAATAATCACACTGCTGTATATTTGATTGGTTCAGGAGCTGAATAAATACACACATAATAATAGTATGAATAAAAAATAAACAACTGTAGTATCAACAGTATTGACAAAATTACCATCAGTCAATTGCCAAAGGCATCTTTATTCCAAACAGATTACATCCTGAGAGAATACTTTTAACGCCATTAAACATCTACACCTGCCCTTGGGAAGGACTTGATAGATGAATAAAAATGCCAAACCCAATCTGAACAGGTTAATGACGGAATTCCAAAGTACAACAAATGTATTTATGTTCTGCCTTTATTATTTTTAGAAATAACTCAAGGCAGCCAATGCTTCTTCCTTCTCCTATTCTCCCCACAACAACCCTCTGAAATCACGTGTTATGAAATGTCAAAATGTAAACCCTGGAGTTTTCTCTTGCATCCCAATGTTGTACACATCTGTGTAAGTCATATAAATTGTGTTATGAACTACAGTAGGGGCAAAAGCATAGAGTATTTTTCTATGGCTGACCAGTAGTGTGAACTTTGTTTGTTTGTTTGTTTACAAATTTATATAGCTGCCCAACTCACACACGGTGATATTAGCATGCAGAAAATGCCAGGTAGTTAGAGGTAAATAAATTGGCATGCTTCATGGCAGAATTTGCAACACAGCTGAGGAAACAGCTGAGGCAGAATCACCAATTTTGCCTTTGATTTCTTGAAATCCAAATAGCCTCACCTTGAACTGTTTCTCTAATCTTGTCTTTCCCATTGGTCCTGGTATTAAGAGTGAATTCACATAGGCATGAATGTGATTCTCAGGTACTTCTGTTTCTTTGCTTAGTATGGCTTCCACAAGTGCATCATGAATGAAGATGTACTGTTCCTGATTTATAATAGGAAGAAATAGTCTTGGTCATCGTATTAATATATATTGTGATCCAATGCCAGTTAATTTGGGCTATGTCCTATTATAAACTAGCAGAACAGAACTGATCCCACCAACAATTATATAAATTTCATTCCAAAGTCAGAAACAGGCTTTTTACAGTTAGAACAATTAAAAAGATTGCTACATTATCATGTTTATATTCATTACTGATCACTAGGAGGCATTAAAAAACTATAATGTTTATAATGCTTCATTCTGGTTAGAACTTTTCAGTCATATGAAGATCCTGTGTTTGGACTATATGTTCAACTGCTGAGTTCCCCTTAGACCTTGAGGACTTAGTATGAATCCTCAGATCTCTAGTGTGAAAGTTCAAGCAAATAAGAAAAGAAGGCAAACCATTCATAGCAGGTACTCCTTGACTTACAATGAATCATTTAGCGACCATTTCAAATTACAATGGCTCTGAAAAAAAGTGACTTATAACCATTCCTCGCACTTACAACCATTGCAGCATCTCCATGATTCAAAAATTGGACGCTTGGAAATGGACATGTATTTACGATGGTTGCATATCCCAGGGTCATGGTTATGATCTTCCCAATCAGCTTTAAGAAGCAAAGTCAACGGGAAAAGCTGGATTTGCTTAATTACTGTACTTAACAACTGCAATTATTCACTGTAGCATAAAAGGTCATAAAATCAGACACAACTCACTTAACAACCCCCTTGATAAACAATGGAAATTCTAGTCCCAATTCTGATCATCGTGAATTACCTTTAATTACTATTTTTGCACACATATATTTGCAGGTATATAAGAATATTTTGAAGAGTGCTATATTTTAAATCCATCCCAGAACTGATTTGCATGATAATTTTTTAGTTTTTCATTTTAGATCTAGATCAGAAAAAGTCATAAAAAGGTCTAATAAGAAGTAAGATGTGGTATGGAAACACTGTAATAGTAACACAAGGAGCCAAGAAGATCAGTTTAATGCTCCTGATACTGTCTCTCAACTCTTCATATAACCACATTTCGGATTTCTTCTAATTATTATAGTTGCAAAGCAAAAATCAGGGAGCTGGTACTGATTTTATCTTATAAAATTATACAGGCATTTCCTACACTTTGCTTATAATAGCTTTCAAAATAGGGCTCCAGTGCATACTGTTGTGTTTCGCCGGCAGCTGGTGCAGACACGGCAGAGGTTATCAGACAGTGAGGACGAAAGGAAACCAGTCAGGGAGTCTGGCGAGGACTTGCATGAGGGTCCTGCATCTGATGCAGGTATGGGGCCAGGACTATCTGACAGTGGGGTGCTGCCTTCGGAGCCTTTGGAGTCTGGCAGGCAGCGAAGCAGAGGACCCCGGGTAGTCTGTTCCCAGTGAGCGTCTGCGCAGGGCTGCTAGAAGGAGAGAGCAGCTGAAGCAGCAGGGCTGACTCAGGAGTAAGGCTGGGAGGTGACTGACCCTAACCCATCAGGGATAAAAGTCAGCCCTCGGTGACATGCTCTTTGCAGGAAGCAAAGAACTTCATTAGATTCTGATTCCTCATCGAAGCCCTGCGACTCTGGTTTGTCTTTGCTGGAACTTCTGTTGGTTTATCTGCTAATTAAGTGAACATCTGTTTCTTGGCACACCTGAAAGGTGTGCTCTTATCCCAGATAATTGTGTTTGGACTGGGAATGCAAATAATACCCAGCATCGCATTAAAAAAGGTTTGCTTTTACACAATGCCTGTGTTTCCTTAATTTGAACAAAGCCTGGGTCAGAACACATACTTTCATTTTGGAGCTCCTTAATGACACACACCCAGATTTACAGGATCCAATAGAGAATGGTAAAAAAAAAAAAAAATCAGCAATGGTCCCAGTGGTGTTATCAGCACATAAAAAAATCAGGTGGAACTTCAATAGCACCAGGGTGGATCCATCTCCTTTTTTGCAAACATGCCACTGCGATGTAAAATGTGGATGAAGCGCACAAGTGAAATATGCACGTGCCAATTTTCTGTGATAGAATAGATTTCAATTAATTTATTTAATATATTTCTCTAATACACCAAAAAGGTTACAGGTGGTCCTTGACTAACAACAGTAATTGTGCCCGGAATTGTGGGCATTATTGGCAGTCATTCAATGGTTCACCACATGCCTGATTTTATGACCTTTTTATTCATTCATTAAGAGAACATTGCAGTCATTAAGTGCATGCTATAGTTATTAGGGGAAGCCATTGTATCCAATGGGCCTTTTATTTTTACTGGAAACTGGAAGTAAACATTGGTTTACAGCAAAAAGTGCTGTAATTCATGGTCAAGTGACCATGGGACACTGCAAATGGCTATAAATTGCCAAATGGTCAAAATGCAATCATGTGACTGAAGGGCAGCCATTATAACCTCAAATAATCTGTAAGTAACTGGCCATAAGTTAATGACTGTCTATATATTTCTTTTTTAAAACAAATCAGCTTTCAGGTGGTAAGTTACCTGTTTCTTTTTGTGGGGCAGGGGAACCATTTTATAACTTAGCTCTGTTACTGGTATTTGAACAATAGAGTATTTTGATTTGCCTTTTTTAAATCCATTTAAAAAGTTACGTTGTGAGTTTTCATGATACAACATTCTTCTTCTTGTGCCATATCCGTCACCGGACATTGGCAATCATGTTGGCGATCCTATTTTTATCAACAGCCACACGGAAAAATGATGCTGAGTTTTGTCCAATGATACAACATGGACAACCTAATTCAAGGCAAACCTTTTTCTTACCTCTGTCTGCACTAAATAATTCCTTTGTGTTCGAATATGCTTCAGGAATCCAAATATGTTGACACTCCCTTCATGTTGAATTTGCTGGAGCATGCTGTCTAATACTATGTATGTGCCTGTTCTTCCGACACCAGCACTGTTAAACATGAAAAATGAAGAATATACTGTCTAAATCTGAGAAAAAGCATTAATACGACTATTCAGATTCATTCATTCAAAAAAGGAGTCACCCACAGAAGAAAGGGCTTGATCCCTCCTTATACATGGTTGAAAACAACATTTTACACTTTATGATTCAAAATCTGCTTTACTGAAGTGAAATGAGAAAGCCAAGTTATAAAACAAACTAAAGTTCACTTGAATTGAAAACATTAAGAAAATATAGCTTCCTTATGGAGAGATTGATTATATTTTTCCTAATAATTACATTTAATTAAATTTATTAATTTAATTAATTTATTAAATTAAATCAGTAATTAAAAGGGGAAAAGGGGAATAAACATCTAACAAGTGAAAGATGGGAACCACAGACCTGCAATGAACCACCACAGGACCTACAGCGTGTCGTTTAGCATAGGAAGCCTTTCGAACAAATGTCAACACTGGCAACGTGTACTCAGGAACACCCATGTCAGGCCACTGAGTATAATGATACTGAGAAACTAAACGACCACTTGACCTTCCTTTTTGGGAGCCCTATGACACAGAATAAAAATTAAATCAACAGCATTTATATTTATTTGATAGTTTTATAAAGCCACATCTCTCACAATGTGACTCTGGCATTATACAAAACGAGTATGGTATTATTATGCAATACAATACAAAGCAAAACCAGCAGATCCCAACAAAATTGAAAACATAAGCAAAAACCAACTGGAATATCTACCTTTTTTACTTTGGTGTTCCTGATAGTGAAATTCCTCACGGTGTAATAAGCAAGAACATGAATGCTCTTTTGTGTCACTAGAAAATTTCCATATTCTTCACTGCCATCAGCAGGCCAGTACTGGTCACATTTTCTCTGGCAGCCAAGAAATATACAATGTTAATATGGAAAGGAAGCTATAAAGCAGGGTGTCAAACTCAAGGCCCACAGGTTGGATCCGGCCCATGGGGTGTTTAGATCTGGCCCGCGGGGCTGCTCTGGGAACAGTGAAGAACCAGCCCATGGTGCCTCTGCCAGTGCAAACAAAGCTCAGGAGGGTCTCCTGCAAGCCATATGCGGCCCTCTTGAGCTACATTTTCACTGGCAGAGCGCTCGAACCACCATAGGCGCCCCTGACATATGTCGAGTTGGCCACACCCACCCTGGTCACGCCCACTCCAGCCTCCTGAGGTAAACACAATCTTGATGACACCCCTGCTATAAAGCATTATTTTAACTAGTAAACAGTCTGAGCATGTGTATTTAAATATCTCTAGTGCTAAGTGACTACATTATATAAAGGGTCTGTGAAGGCTGTTATTTTTCGCCAGAGTTTGGAATTTTAAAATATTTTCTCTGATTTGATTGGACATAGTTGGAATGCTAGGCATGGAAATGGCCAATCATGTTTGAAAAATAGTACTAAACTAAATTACTTTCAATCAGGGATTAAATTTTTCTTTCCATCTTTCTTCAATGTTTTTATTAATTTTGTAGAATTATGGAATTCACCAATGTAGATGAAAATAAGATCAAATCCAGACTTCTGCCTTCAAGATTCCTGGAAATACAGTTGTCACTTGTGAAAGCTAGAGAGATATAGGATTTTATTAAGAGCAGATTTAAAAAAAAACCCTTCTCAACTGAATTTGAACAGCTCAGGTTTTCTAATGACTAATATTAATTGAACAAATGATTGCTCTATATTAGTATTAGGTCTTCCACTGTTATGAGTCATTTTCAAGAGAGTATTTCAAACCTACGTGTGTTTATTTAAACTGAAGCTACTCTGTTCCATGAATTTATATTAGAAAGCATTCAATTAATAGGTTTATCAAGAAGTTTATACAACATATAAAGCTAAAGGATATTAACTAAGAAGTTTATACCCGTCCTTTCTCAACAAGGTTAGTTATCATTACAATGACTTCCACATTATGTTCCCATATCATTCTCCAGAAATCTTCTGCTGTTGATTTTAAAGGCCCTTGGGCTGCAATATAAGCTTTTGGTCGGTTGTAGCCCTGCATGAAACAAAGCGAAGAAGACAGTTTATGAGAAGACAGTGACATACGGTTCTTTTTTATGAAACTGTGGTTTCAGGAAATCCTCTAGATAGTATATTCATTTTTTATGGAATGAGAAATAAAAATTACACTTTTTTTCTTGGACTGAGGTTATATTTGAGGATGTAATATTAAATATTGCTTAGCATGGATTTCTCAGACTTTCAGGCTGAACTGGATCAATGATTGGTTCTCTCATCCTTTTACATAGTTTTTTCAAAAGGGAATAACATGAATGGAATGCAAGAGACCAATACTTTATATAATTTTGTTCCATTTGCTAGCCAACTACTATTTCACCCATGAGGTAAACACCAATCTGCAACTATCTTAAACAGGAGAAAAAAAAAGAAAGAAAGAAAGAAAGAAAGAAAGAAAGAAAG